TCAAAGTCGAGTCCACCGCATCAACTCGCACGAGACAAAGAGGGACGCGGGCAAGTGTCGGCATATCCATCATCTAGCCGTAGTGGTTGATAAAGCATGGATCCATGAGTCGTTCATTCATACATCTCCTCCGAACAACGTGGACATCAACCAAACGCACCACTGGGAACCCGACCAAGATGCTGAAGTCTCGCACTGCCCTGGCGTCATGTCGGGGGGAGCATCGACCCGCAGGATGCAATTAGAGATTCCAAGAACGCGGCCAGTGGAAGCCCCTCCAAACGCTCATTCTGCAGTTCTAAAGATTTTGACTCGGCCATTTCCATCCCAAGCACCTTTCTTCAGCACTTTCGACTCAAGCTTACTCAAGACTGTGAGACGAGATGAGCCCCGAGTAAACTTGGGCTACAGTTGGCGACCAGCGTCCGTCCATTATGGATGCGTCGAAGCACAAACTCAACACACAATCTGTTCGACGGCATGATCAAGGGGGTCTTCTTGTGCATTTTCCAGTCGCCTCAGTCCCCCGGTCAACCAGGTCAGGCGTTGCCTCGGCCGGATGGTCGTTGCCGCACCTTGCGACTCTTTGTATGTTGGATATCGTGTCCGGCGTCTCCACTGCGATCGCCATCGATGTGAATGCCAACGAGGACGACTTGTCCGACCCGTACGGGGACAACTCGAAGGGCATTGTCATGGATCGCCGTGAATTCGTCGGACGATTCACTCCGTCGGCTCTGGCATTTCGTCATTCACCTCGCGAGCGTAGCCAACTCCCCCGGGTTACCCGCGACCCTGAGATAGTTCCAGGCCGAATCGTTGGCCGTTAAAGGTCGGTTGCGATCGCTGTACCCCACGATCAGTTTAGGTCAAGATAGATGGAAGACCGGAATATGTACACACTGACATGCAAATCCATCCCAGCATTGCCATTCAGCGAATCGCGGATGACGAGTGGTTGGCAACGCTGGTCTAGTTTGACAACTGCGCGGGGTTTCGATTTCGTGGAGTTTATCCAGTGGGCTGACAACGTTGAACAATGCCTTACGTGGTTTCGACTCCATCGTTGGCGCCTGTACAAGAAGCAGCGCATCCCAGGACGCCGTTGAACAATGCCATCAGGAGCAAACATCCTATCGTGGCTCGGTGTTTCGGCGCAATTTTCCATCATCCGATCGCATGGTTGCCACCAGCCACCGTTCTTCTAGCGACAATTCCACGCCCTAGACATGCAACACGAGCTGATCAAACCCTGAACTCTCTCCACCTCGCGAGGCATCCTGATGGCCTGCATAGTCCGCATTTCTTTCGCAATGGCAGTGTTTTAACCCCCAAGTTCTCAAGCTAGCACAGCTTTGCCCGACTACACACGATCCGCGTGGCCTTGCTCGGTGAGCGCGGCCCCTCTCTCCCTCGGGATCTTTTGTAGGGCGCACTTAACCGAATTGGTCCGGTTACGATCGGTAGGACATTCAGCCAATCAGACGTCTCGACGACTCTCTGGCCAATCAGAGACCGGTATCGTCCGACGGTGGTTGGTTGCCAGCCAATGCATCCGCTGGACGTTCCACCACCAACGCATGAGGATGGCCATTTTTGATCTTTCCGTGCAAATATGTCTGGACGAGGTGGCTTTGGTGGACGTGGCGGAGGCCGAGGCGGTGGCCGCGGCGGAGGCCGTGACGGCGGTCGTGGCGGTGGACGTGGTGGTGGCCGTGGAGGCGGTCGCGGTGGCTTTGGTGGCCGTGGTGCTGCGGGTGGCCGTGGTGGTCGCGGTGGTCGTGGCGCTGCGGGTGGCCGTGGTGGCCGTGGCGGGCGCGGTGGCCTCGCGGGTGGCAACAAAGTGCTTGTTGAACCCCATCGTCACGAAGGCGTGTTCGTCGCCCGCGGCAAGGAAGACGCTCTGGTTACGCTCAACTCGACCCCCGGCAAGTCTGTGTACGGAGAAAAGCGTATCTCGGTGGATGTGCCTGCTGCGTCCGGCGAAGGCACGGAGAAGGTGGAATACCGCGTGTGGAACCCTTTCCGCTCCAAGTTGGCCGCTGCCATTTTGGGCGGTGTGGACAACATCTGGATGGGCCCTGGCGCCAAGGTGTTGTACATCGGTGGTGCTTCGGGCACGACGGTGTCGCACGTGTCGGATATTGTCGGCCCCACTGGTGCCGTTTACGCCGTTGAATTCTCGCACCGATCAGGTCGTGACTTGATCAACATGGCCAAGTCCCGCACGAACGTCATCCCGATCATCGAAGATGCCCGCCACCCGCTCAAGTACCGCATGTTGGTGCCCATGGTTGACACGATCTTTGCCGATGTTGCCCAGCCCGATCAAGCACGTATTGTTGCGCTGAACGCGAGCTATTTCCTCAAGAACGGTGGCCACTTTGTTGTGTCGATCAAGGCCAGCTGCATTGACTCGACCGCCCCCGCCGAAGCCGTGTTTGCCCGCGAAGTCAAGAAGTTGCAACAGGACCAATTCAAGCCTGCCGAGCAACTGACGTTGGAACCGTATGAGCGCGACCACGCCGTTGTCGTTGGGAGCTACCGCGCCCCCAAGAAGGACAAGTAAGACAGAGCTATCGCTGAATCGCGTTTGTGTGAATAGATTAAATATACATGGGAGATGCTTCAAGTCAAGCCGCGCCACGGGGAGAGAAACAAACTGTTGTGTGAAGGCCGTGGGGCGTGCTGGTGTGTGTGCGATATCAAGTTGTTGTCGGAGTCCCGATGATGACATGCATGCGTCGGGCGATCGGATTGCCGTAGCAATATGGCTTGACGACAGACGCGAGATGTACAAATGAATATCTCGGAGGGACTCCCAAGTGTGCATGTTTAGCGTCAGAGTAGATAGCGCAGGATGGTGGAAACGTTGTCGTGCGGGGGGTGATGAGGCGAAGTAGTTGGTGTGTCGTCTAAACATGATGTCGATTTCTTTTCCATTTCGTTCCAGTGGTGTGGCCCATCGATCCCGTCCAGCATGTTATGTCCAGCCAGAGAGTCAAGAATTACATTCCGCCCTGCTGCTGTGGCATGCGGTTGTGTTTTCCCTGTGGTCGATGGAGACGACTTGGCATCGGAATGCTTCTAGTCAAAGGTACAAGGTCTTGAAGGAAGCTCGAGCACGAACGATCACGAAGCGCACGTATTACCGACACCACGTTGCCGCACGGGCGAGCTGTCGCTGGTGCCACTCACGGTGACAATAGTGATGCCTCATTGACCGCATGACGACAGCCCGACACCGACGCCCCCTCGTTCTCTGTCACGATATACCTCCATGGAGATAGCCGCCGGTGAATGGAGCGACTTGAATCCTGACAGTGCCGCTACAAGTAGGGCTGCCACGATAGCATCGACAACCTGCATGCACCGGCAATCGTATTTCCCTGGACGATTGTTGTGTTCTGCCGTGTCGTCGGCGCGTGTCATGACGCTTACTTTGCTGGAGATGCCGACGATGCTATGGCTGGTTGATGATTACCGTGCCAATGTTAAGCGCCAGAGACACCACTCGCACGGCACTCGTCAGTGCGGCTTTGGTACTGGTGTACCCATCGAATTGATATGTTCCGCGCGGCGCGGGGACGGGAGTTAGCGATGCGCCGTAGAACGTGGCTTCGAGAAACTTGTCATCTTGTTCGCCTTCGTCGAACGCGGCTAAGACATCATGGAGTTTGGTTTTTGCCGCTAAATATCCCCCGTCCAACGTGGCGTCGGTCAGACTCGTACTGTTCAAGACAAGTCCCACACACCAATCTTCGAGCGCCTCGCCAAACCGCCGGGTTGCCAACTCCACGTCGACATCGTCTGGTGCCGGTGGCTGGCGCCGCAACGATGCAGCACATGCTGCAAAGGCAGCGCCGCCCCCCGGAAGCACAACTTGATCGTCCAGCGCATGTGCGAGTCGATGCAATGCGTTGACGATCTGCGCTTGGGTTTCGACGGCGGCGGACGCAGTCATGCCTCCCACAAGCACCGTGACAGGGGTTGTTCGGAACTGGCTGTCGTGCTCTAGCCGCAGAAACGTGCGGTTGTGGAGTGTGTAGACCGATGCGTGTATGGCGCAGCCAGCGACGTCCAAAGCCCGTTCGCACACGTCTTCGCAAATCGAAACACCGAACGCCAACGAGACCTACCGGTCAGCATCCCCGTTGCATCGTTAGGTGCCTCTCCCGAATCAAACAAAAGAAAGATGGACGACATACATGGCGAAGGTCGGCAAGTCGCTGGTGCGGGATGCACGCAATGGCATGTTGTCCAGCGTGGCGATGGCGGCACCAGTCCACGGTCTTGGCACAAATGGAACCGGAGGCTACGACGACGCGAGCTGACTCGAGCCAAAGGCACGTGGCAGAGCTAAATACAATGTCTCCATGCATGAGAGCAAAGTGATGGCTGGAGAAGGTGGAGAGGTTGCCCGAAGCGCCATCGTGTGGCGTCACCCAGCCATCCAAGTTGTCCGAGATGTCGAGGAAGAGGCCCGTAAGGTGTACCGCATTCGAAGGACCCACAAAAGCGTGGAAGTGCACATGGTGTGGCCATGACAGATCAAAGGAATCCATACTTAACGCGACCTCCACAGCTTTTGCCATGGCTGCTGCCCGGTCGGGGTGTCTAGAGTGGCTCGGCACGTGAGGCAATTCGTAGTAGGATGAAGCAGCGTACGTCGAGGACAGCGCAGTGCCCAGGAGTGGAATCGAATATGAAAGAGGACGCTGTCCTCCATCGTGTCGCCAGCTAGTTTCTCGCAGCCATTCTTGAATGTTCATGCGCATTCGGGTCAATGTGGTCATGCAACGCGCCAACGCGTTTCCGAACCCTCTTGTCACGCGGTACCTACAATATACACGGTCATCACACGGATCCAATGCACGATCAACGAGGAGAGAAGTTCGAGTGAATAAACACGTACGGGGAAATGTGCTGCAGGTCCATTGCAGCGTCCGTCAATGTATGCACGAGGGTGACGAGGGTGGTCGCTCCCTGAGACCAAGGCAGGTGAGTCGATCTGGGCTTGCCACGAAGGCGACCTACGGTCCCGAACTCATTTATATGTGATTCCACGGTCTTGAGCAGTAGGGCGATGATTGGGTGCTCGACATGAAGGCTGCGGAGGACTGTGACAATGTTGGCCGTGAACACGGCACCTGTGTCGCAGTCGACGTTTTCGCCTCCTAATCGATCGTGCGAGGTGAATGCTGACAGAGAATCCACGCAGATACCTTGGGAAATCTGCTTGCGGCTTCGACATGGTCCAAGCAGAGTGTTCGCGGACTCGGTGACCGCCGCCAGGGCCGGCAGGAGCGCCTTCCCGTTCACCTTGGTGCAATGCATGCGTGGATTTCACGTATCCGGATTCTGTTCCGGTTGCCAAAAGATTCGCCCACATGGTGAAACTTCCATCAAGAAGACAACATCTCCAGTGCCACATGACGGAGAGAAACTTGGTGGCCCCCGTGCTTGTCGTCGTCCGCTCCACGTCATGCTCGGCAGTGTGCTCCGGCGTGGGGTTTGGCTTTGAAGCTGCATCTGGTCGACGGTAGAATGGAAAGTGTATATCGACGGGTTTCATCCAAGTATAGTCGTCGAAGGGTTTGACCTGGGCATAGTCCCACGAATTCGGCGCTCTCGTCAAAGCCGAAACGAATGCAAAACCAAGCTCTTGTCTCGTTCCATGGGGTTTCCATCGCTTCAGGACAAGCAGTGCTAGCTGGTCGTGACATGGGGGGGCAATGCGTCTTGTCCCAACGGGAGATGGGGGTACCGTGCGGTCATATGACGAGTCACGTCCACCACCGTACAGCGCCTCGTGCACTGAAATACGTTAGCGCTGTCAACAGCGACCACGTCGTATACCCGAGTTTGTTCCAAGGCACGCCCCACATCTCGACAACAGCCCAAGTTGGGATTTCGCCGTGTTGTGTGCCGTGTCTTTGTCCACGTCATGTGGGACTTCCCCAACGTGTCTTTACGCGACGTTCTCACGTTCGACAGTTTCCGCTGGCGCGACATGCGCGGCGTATAGCGCGATGGAGCTTGAGACGACGACGTCGCTGTGGGCCTGGTCGACTCTAGGTGCCGGGACGGCGCACATGCGACGCCACGGGCGGCCCGCGTAGAGTGCTGTGTTCAGTGTTGTCATCGCCACCTCAACAAGCGCACAATTGATGTGTTGTCATTCTTTTGAAACCGGAATTTGTTGACGTCACACCCAGAATCTAACGCAAAATAGCGTCTTAGCCCATGATTGGTCCAAAATGCAAGTGCATTTTCGTGCTCTCGGATTGGATCAGACATACTTTCCCGATCCAGGATTGGCCAAATATACATCAGTGCAATTGGTGCTCCTTCATGGAGAGGCCTCGACCTCGCTCCCACAGTGCGCTCAACGCCGCTACACAAATCATGCGAGGGCTCCTCCATGTGTACGTGACATGGAGGGCGAATGCGATGTGTGCCAGCAGGGGCATTCCTCGTTCGACGTGGCAAACAAGGTTGAGTCACAGGTATCACAGCCTGGGGAAAAACACAACCGTTCTACACTTGGCGGCCAAGGCAGGCCAGAAGTCCTCGCGTTTGGCACCGACCTCTTTCATTTCATGAAAGAGGTGAGGATTGGTCTAGATCCAAGAACCTTTCGCGAACGCAGGTCCAATCCCCACGACGTCACATGACGAGGTTGCTTCCGTCGACTGACCAACAAACTACTGGTCCAATTGCATTGGCCATCCCCGTCGTGGGCAAGGTGAAAACCTGCATATTTTCGAAGTTGTTTTGGCCAATCAGTGGCCTCAAATCCATGCCTCCCACGATCGTGGGAGGCATTTCGAAGCCCAAGCTTCGAAATCTTCGGCGCGAGTTTTTTCTCACGTTGACTGCGTGTCTTTAGCGCGGTGAGGTTTATCCCATTGTACATCGCGTTTCTCCAACCCGGACGGCGATGAACGCCCTCTCAAATCGAATATTTCCTGGGAAAAAGATGAAGGAGGTGGACGACAACCTCTTCCATTCAATATACAGAAACCACCCGACGACGTGGCGAAGACCAAGGGTCGCGCGGCTCGTGGCTTGCTGGGGTTGCCTGCTTCTGTCGAAGGAGGTGCCCGGACCAGGTTTCGACCCGTTTCGTTTGGCCCACACTGTGATGGCACCCAGCACTGACCATTCCACTTGAAGGAAGAATCAGGTCGTTGTTGGACCACGTCACCACATTCGCCGACGCGACGAGGAAGAAGGGGCCGAGGACCACGCGATGTTCCACGTAGACGACCGCCGCGATCGCAGTAAGATCAACCAGCGCAAGTACCGCGCCATGATGAAAGAGTCGAATGCGCAGCTCGCGGCCAACACGCACGAGCTCGAACTGTACAACATTCGGCTCGAAGCACGGCTGTGCATGCTCCGGGACTTCATCGGTGTTAGCGACTGTATTGCATCCGTGAATCGGTACATGCAAACGTTTGAACGAGGGTGTGCAAGCGCTGTATGCCGCCAGGACACGGACACATACGTGGCATTGCTCCGGGAGCAGGAAGCGTCGATTCGGACGCTATGCGCGCCCCACGTCGAGTTTGACGGCAAGGTAGACACCCGTTATGCTCGTTCGTTCGGGTGCACTGACGCTCTCCACAATTGTCTGTGCCTAGGTCGAATGGGACAACCAAATCGGACGATGGGTGACCTCCAAGCAGTTTGGCGTCGATGAGCTCGTTCACCGGTGGGTTGCGAGCAGAGCCCTCTTCGAGTCGGTGGGGTGCATCGAGTGCTCGGAAGTCGACGTCCTGTCCATCACATCAGACATCTTTATGCTTCAAACGACCACTGTCAAGCACATTCGCGTAACTGAAACAACACTTCGCCAGCTCTTCCCACACCTGGACCAAGACCTTGCCCACAAATTGCTCCAGTCCCCTGGTCTCCGCATTCCGATCCGATTAGTCTTCACCTTTGACGTGGCATCTCACCTGGTCACGCGGCTTGACGTCCACAGCAACGTTGTGGTTGCCCTCATGGACACGTTGCAGAGCGCTCAGTGTGCGTGCGACGCCCTCCATGGCGCCTTCCTCGACCACCAGGATGTCGTGTTTCACCCGTGAAGTTGTTTCGAGCCATCGCGCGGTAGGGATGCCGCCGTCATCAAGGATCGCGGCCGGCTCGCTTGTCGGCTCCGTGACGGAGGGTCACTTTGGAGTACGTATTGTACAATAACATTGCTGCTGTTTCTATTGCGGCTCTTCGTATCATCCCGCGGCGCGGAGCCCCCACCCACGCGCTTCTCGTGCTGCGCTCGCTAGCTCGAGGTGTAGTGTTTACTTGAGGGGTTGTGGAGGGATTGCAGTTGGTG